AGAGAGAGAGAGAGATTGCAAAAGAGGGGGAATAGGTTTTAGGGCTAATAAAAGGTGAGCCTTTTACGCAAAAGTCTCGCGGAAATGCAAATTTTGATCAGAATTATGGTTTTTGGATGTAGCAGTGATCGATTTGTGTTTAAATCGATCAAAATGGGATTGAATATGGATTATTGGTTAGATGTACAGGGCATCTAACTCAAGTCTAACTGAGAAACGGAGATTTTTAATTCACTGGTTACAATTTTTAGAATAAAAATGTCAGTGTTGAATGAATCAGATGCGTGTTTGAACGTGTGTTAATACTTTTCCAGTTTCAATTGTTCCAATTGGCAATCTTATTTTAACTCTCTCAAAACCTTGTCCTTTTTGTAGTTCCATCAGGAAATACCTTTTTGGATTATCGTTTGTGACGTCTCCTTTCCCCAACAAAGATCATTATTTGGAAACCTTTGAAAATTATGTGTTACTGATAGTGTTGGGTGAGAACAATGCCTTTTTCATTCTGATGAATTTCAATTCCCAAAAAAGATTTGAATTCTCGAAGATCCTTCATTTCAAAGTTCAGGTTCAGTTCTTTCTTAATAAGTTCAATGCCTTTAATATCATTTCCACTGACAATGATGTCATCCACATAGATTAGAAGGACAACAATACCTGATGATGATCTTTTAAGAAATACGGAGTAGTCGACCTTGCTTCTTTGAAAACCAATACTATCAAGTATGGGTATTTTCTTTGGCTCACCTGTAATGGAGTCTCCTTTCTTTTTTCTGATGTCAGGTATGTGAAGAATACGAATTCTACACAAATAAAAAGACAGGTCGCCATATTAAGTTGGACACATTATTGACTACTTATGAAGTAGTACTAAAGGACAAAGCAGTATTCTCCAAGATCAGATGGAATTATCTCATGGTGGATGAAGCACATCGGCTGAAAAATAGTGAAGCTTCATTATATACAACACTCTCAGTATGTTACTGTCCCACATATGTACCATCTTACTGAAAGCTTTTCATCATGGTCAGTAGTCCCATGGTGATTTGCAAGAGTTTCTTTAACAAATGCTAATTGTATAGACGTTGGTTTTGCCCCAGGAAGTTTCCACAAAAAATAAGTTGCTGATCACAGGAACTCCACTACAGAACAGTGTAGAAGAGCTCTGGTGATATTTCTAAACTTCCTGTTCTTTTTATGTATTCATCAGTTATTTTTTTTTCACTGTTATTAGCCCCTTTGTATTTGATCTTGTTAATGTATTCTTTTGGAAGAACTTCTACACTATTTAATTCAACAAAACCATACTTTTGTAACCATCGGGTTTCTTGGCATTGCTCTTATTATTTTTGTGTCCCACCGAGGTTGTGAAAATTGTAGACTTAGTAAATATGAAACAAATTGCAGCATTGGCAAATCTCAGAGTAAAATGATTTTCCTATTAAGAAAGTGTAATATATTCTTAGACTTATTTCCTTGTTAATTTCATGGTATTGCATCCAGGAAATGCAGATTTGCAGATAAATTTGTTGCAAATTTATCTTTTCTCTTTTTTTTCTGAACTTTCTCAGTTTGGTTGTAGTGGGTATTTGTTGCTAAGCAAAATGGTCCTCATAATATGACCTTGAGATTTTAAGTATCTAGAATATTTGACTAGTCTTTAAACACTCAAATCTGCAATACTTTGGACTGGGGATTGACCCATTTCGTGGAATTTTTTTTAATGTTGATGTGGAAAATGGTAAACGACATTTTTCTGAAGTGCATGAGAATAAATGTTATGTGATGACTGTTGAGTACCTTGATGGGATCATAACATGTTAGACATTTACGATAGAAAAGCTTCCTTTCTCTCTTTCATGCTCTAATTCACTGAGTGTACTTTACTTTCCTGCCAAAAAACAATAGGAAAGGAAAATTCATTGGGTTGACTTGGATTGGCGTTTGTGATGGATTCAATGCCTTGGTGTCAGTCCCCCCTCCTCAGCATCATGCTTGTAGGCAAAGTGAGGGGTAGGAAACCTCCCGGGTGACAAAACAAATACCAAAGAAACCACAAATCCTGCGAGGACTTGTGTTACTTTTGGGGGATTTATTTATCTCCCTGTGGGTAGTTCTTTAGACCGACAAACCTATATGAGGGAGTACCGCCAACCTTGACCAACCATCGATGGGAGGCAAGACTGGTGTGACGCATGGAACATAAGGCTCCGGCTCACTTGTGCATGTGGGCTGGCGCTAAAGACCCTCGGTGAGAAACGTTGGGCAAGATGGCACACCGATTGCTAAGATGGCAGGACTTGGTGGACCACTTGGCAATGGGTTGAGGCCTAGTTGGTCGGCCCATGGCCAGAATGACCTAATAGGACATGACATGACATGACATGACCCATGTGCAAGAGGCATGGCTGCCCATACACCTGGCTTTGGCAGGTGAGTTGACCAACAATGATCAATTGTGGGATTCAAGTTGTGTAACTTCCCTAGACATGGGCTTATGTAGCAGCCATAGGCTTAAGAGAGGGTGAGTGCACATGTAGTGGGCCTATGTGACCATGAATGGATGTGTAATGCCCATGCATGTTTGAATTGGCACGGATGGTGTAGTAAACTAGCAATGATCGATGAAGTGGATCAACTAAACCATTAATCCCCTTTATAAGCCATTGAGTGCAGGCCATTGATGGTGGGGCACGGGCTTCCAACTGCCTTAGTCCCTCACTAGGTGGTGCGTAGTAGTGGTGGTACGGACCTCGATTGAAACAACTGGTGTGTGTGAGTTCATAGTTGGGGCTATATAAAGCCCTTGTCCAGACCCTTTAGGTGCATTCGTGGCTAAATGTGAGCAATTATATGGAGCTAATAAGAGCCATTTGAGTCCCTTTTCTTCACTTTATGCATGCCTTATATGTTTGTCTCTCTCCATTTTTCTTGTCTGTGCTCATAGAAGGTTAGGCTTGCCTTAGTCTGGGGCTGACTTTGGCTAGGAACAATACGGATTGACTATAATAAAAATTAGCCTCGTGACTGTTGCTATCATGGCTTGGTTCAGTGACCGTGGTTGGTGGTGTCTCTGCTGAAATTCGGCAATGTGCCACGGACCTTGAGGAGCAGTCGATAACATTAGACCCTGATGTGCAGATTATTAGAAGACACTAATGCACAGTATGGTCAACAAAAGTCTGAGTTGATCCAGTCGCACTTTCTCCTTGAATGTTGATTGGTTATGTATGAGTACAAAATGTTACAGTACATTGATAGGTAGGTTTTCATTTGTCATCGTGAATACAGCTTTCATTTCTCCTGTTCTTAAATACTATCACAGTTTTTAGTCATTTGTTAGTTTTATAACTCTTAGAAAGCTTTAATTGTTTTGTAGAACTTCCATTGTTGGCCCGCACAGCCTGCTGCATCCTCTGGGCTTTTGCTTCTGGAAATTTAGATTCCTTAGAATTTTGAACCGATCTTCTCTTTTGCCCATTGATATTCTCTCTCTATCTCACTCTTTCTCTCTCTCTCTCTCTCCCCCGTACACGTGTTGTTTCGTTTTGCTTCTCTATCCCCCACCTCCCCCCACCTCCCCCCACCCGAAAAAAAAAAACGAAAAGAAGAAAAATATACCCAAAAATAAAAAAACTATTTTGATTCTTCTTTTTGCCAATTTGTCCAAGATGACCAGTAATTTGAGTGACCCACTCCTGATTGTTTACCCATTCTGTAGTGCTTTGTTGTTCTTTTCAACTATGTACTATTCTATCACTGTATATGCAGTAAAAACTTCACAACAGATATCAACTTTTATAGATGCCGTTTAATTTATTTGTAGTTGTTACCTTAGTTGCCATTGATTTTGGTCTTATGACTAATCCTCTGACCATGTTTGCTACACTATCTTGTAGGGCCCTATTACATTTCCTTGATTCCGAGAAGTTTAAGAGTAAGGATGATTTCATTGAGAAATACAAAAACTTGAGTTCCTTCAATGAGATTCAGGTATGATGTTATTGCTTGTGCATGCAGCTTTGATTTTCTATATTCGCATTGCAACTCGAATTTTCCTGTCATTTAGTTTCCTCTAAACAGTTCTGAATTCTTGAATTGTTCCATAGCTCGGTAATCTTCATAAAGAATTGAGGCCACATCTTCTTCGGAGAGTTATCAAAGATGTGGAGAAATCATTGCCTCCAAAGATTGAACGCATTCTTCGGGTTGAAATGTCTCCCCTGCAGAAACAGTGAGCTCATCCTTCATGTTTTCATCTTTCTTGTTGTATTCAGTTAGTTGAACTCCCTTGTGGTTCTCTAGAACTGATATTTGATATTTGGACTAGATATTATAAATGGATCTTGGAGCGGAATTTTCATGATCTGAACAAAGGAGTGCGTGGAAACCAGGTTAGGATATGGTTCCTGTCAGTAAGTTCCCTGTTTTAGCCATGGAAAGTATACAATAATCCTACTAGACTATTCATAGACATGAGCGACTGAGAGTGATAGAGAGAGGACCTACGACAAGACATCATCACCTTGATGGTGGGCCCTAACGACTGCGGATGTCCACCATTTCAACGGATGATGATGACCCTAAGGACTAGCGTTTCCATGATCCTTGTTAATGTTTTACTTATCGTCTAGCTTACGTATTGTGCTCTGGATGTTTACTGAGATATGATTATGCTTATTTATCTTCTAATTCTGCAGGTTTCCCTTTTAAATATTGTTGTGGAATTGAAGAAATGCTGTAATCACCCTTTTCTGTTTGAAAGTGCTGATCATGGCTATGGTGGGAATGCTAAGATGAATGATAGTAGCAAAGTTGAGCGCATCGTGTTAAGCAGTGGGAAGCTTGTAATATTGGACAAACTTCTTGTTAGATTGAAAGAAACAAATCACCGTGTTCTGATATTTTCTCAGGTTTGTTTCTGAATGACTTCATGGATTTTAGACTAAATCGCTTGAATATGGTGATCAGTAAATTGTTGTTTTCTGAAGCTCAATAAATCACTGGCTCTATTCTTGATTCTCTACATGTTTATGTTTTGCTTCATGATTTTTGATGTGCCCATGCATATGGATGTTAGTTAGTAAGCGTTTTCTTGTCAAGTATTCTGTAACCGCCAAATGGATATGCCTCATACCAGTTGCTCTATACATTTGTATGGAGATACTTTCATTAGACACACTCGACCTTTTGTTCTATTGACTGGAATCATAGCCTTCAACATTGTCATGTTATCTACCCATCATCTTAGTGGAAAACTAGATATAAAAGAATACCATGTTGCTTTGTTAGTTACAAGAATCTCAGAGTGTTCCAAAACCCGGACCGGTGGTGTGGATCTATCACCCACAGGTCCGTGTCGGATCAGCGATCCAGATTGGTACAAATTGGTGATCTAGGAAAACATTAGTGGGGTGCGGAGTTAGAGGGGATCTTAGAAAACATTACATAAGCTTATAAATAAAAAGAAAAAGTATTTTTCTTTTGTTTTTGTGGGGAGGGGGAGGGGGATGGCCCGGGGGGGGGGGGGGGGGAGAAAACATTAGATAAGCTTATAACAAAAAGTAAAAAGTATATAAGGGGGGTGTTAGGGTGGATCCGGGCCCTGAACTGGTTTGGTCCTAACCGGTTCCCATCCAGAATTGAAATTGGCAGGTTTGAAAACATTGATCTCACTACTCGGAATTGATAAATCGAAATTGTGGATGATCATATGCTAGCTAGAAGTAAAGCCATGGGCAGCGATCTTACTATGATGGAGGATCCTAAGCTCATCAGAGGGCTCTCATGATTGTGACGTTGAAGTCCCCAACCGCTGTAGTGACAATAAGGACTGAACTGAAACTTTTATTTACCCTGATTTTTATGTTTTAATTTTTTCAGTTAGGATCGGATGGGGGTTGGAGGTATTCATTGTTCTAGTAACCTAACTATTAAGTTCTATAATATTTTCCATAACTTTTCTGTCAGATGTACAGATTATCAGCTATTAGATGCCAAGGATAATTGGAGGGTACATTATTGTTTGGTTGGTCTTAGCCATGTGGAAGTTATGTTCACACACGGATGGCATGTCATGTATAGTTGCTTCAACAATGTAGGCTATATATTTTATAGCAGAGGATGCCATTTAACTTATCTCTTCTATAAATGTTAGGGCAATACCTATTGGTCACATGTGCTATACATCATGTGCTTAGTTCTTTATTTTTTACTTTTTCAGAACATCTAGACCTGTCTTTCTCACAGCCAACCTTTTGCAGATGGTGCGGATGTTGGACATACTTGCTGAGTATCTATCTTTGAGAGGATTCCAATTTCAGAGGCTTGATGGTAGTACGAGGGCTGACCTCCGTCACCAAGCTATGGAGCATTTTAATGCTCCTGGAAGTGAAGACTTTTGTTTTCTTTTGTCGACTCGTGCTGGTGGGCTAGGAATTAACCTTGCAACTGCTGACACTGTTATAATTTTTGATTCAGACTGGAATCCCCAAAATGATTTACAGGTTTGATAACAGATCACTATTTGTTTAAAATATTTTAAAACTTTGATTCTTTGTGTGTTGTTTGAGATGTTAAGTATATAGTTAACATTTTTCATATTTGTTGTTAGGCAATGAGTAGAGCTCACAGGATTGGGCAGCAAGAAGTGGTCAACATATACCGGTTTGTTACTAGCAAAAGTGTTGAGGAAGATATTCTTGAGCGCGCTAAGAAAAAGATGGTTTGGCAGCCTTTATTTTTGTTACTTCTATAGAATCTTCATCATCTGGCTCTAGATTTTGCGGAAGCTGAATTTTCTGTGTTGATGTGAATACAATTTTCCTTCTTGCACTGTGTAGGTTCTGGACCACCTTGTTATTCAAAAGCTCAATGCAGAAGGCAGGCTGGAAAAGAAAGAAACAAAGAAAGGGGCCTCCATGTTTGACAAGGTAAGTTATACTTCTGTTTTTTGTTTGCAGATGTTTATTGTCTTAGGTTCTTTTCATCCATTGGGGTTTGAAAGTCAGATTCTTATTCATTTAATTTTGGCCATGCATATCATAATTCAAGGTTCTATGGAAAAACCTCCAAAGAACATTTGTCCTCAGGGTCATCACTATCTACTGAAATGATGGATGATGGTCGTGATTGGACCCTGTCGTTGGGGTTGCATTCCATTCTAGTGTCTCTCTTTACGTCTCTGTCACTGTTAATTTTGTTGGAGATGATGACTTAGTGATCAATGGAAAACTTCAATCCATTGCATTATAGTATATACTTTATCTTTAAACTTTTATTTAATCTAGACATATTTCTGCATGGCTGAATCTTATCTGTTACACTGTTGTGCATATGCATCATATGTATCTGTGAAGTGGCCTCATTTATAGCTACATTAAAATAGTGAGTAGCGTTATGTTTAGATTTCTCCTTGATCTTTGGAACACATTTTCTTTGCCACTGCAGAATGAGCTGTCAGCAATACTTAGATTTGGGGCTGAGGAACTTTTTAAGGAAGACAGGAATGATGAGGAGGGGAAAAGGAAGCTTGAAAACATGGACATTGATGAGATACTTGAGAGGGCAGAGAAAGTTGAATCCAAGGGGCTTGAAGCGGAAGAAGGAAATGAGTTGTTAAATGCTTTTAAGGCAAGTCAATTTATGTTCCTGCGTAGTGCACCTATTTTGTGTCTAATGCTATTATTTTTGTGTCTATTGTGGTTGACTCTCTCTCATTGATGACATTGCTTCGTCTGGCATCCAGGTTGCCAATTTTTCTAATGCTGAAGATGATGCAACCTTTTGGAGTCGTTGGATTCAACCTGAAGCAGTAGCTCAAGCTGAAGTGCGCCACTTTTCCCATTTGAAATTTGTTTCATGTCTACATCATCAGAGTTTTCCTGTTATCTACTCAGCGTTCACAGTTTCCACTTTTTTAATATGTGATTTATGCCATTATTTATATTTTAGGATGCATTGGTTCCTCGGGCTGCAAGGAATACCAAAAGCTATGCTGAAGTTAATGAGACTGAGAAGAGCACTAAAAGGAAAAACCGAGGGGTTGAAGAGAGAGCCTCAAAACGTAATAATAAAGCTTCAGATTTGGCATCGCACTCCCTCCCTGTTCTCGAGGGGGCCTCTGGTCATGTTAGGGAATGGTCTGGTGGCAATTTATCCAAGAAAGATGCCAACAGTTTTATCCGTGCAGTAAGCTCCATTCAATGATGTTTTAATTATAAATATTTTGTACAATGTTTTTAAATTATATAATAAAATACTATCTTTGGTTGTTATTGATACCTACAATTATGCATGCATATTGGGATTTTGTCGTGAATTTCTATGTAAATTTGTTGCTATCACCTGCAATTTGTAATTTGCTTTGTTACTTCACAAAACAATCGAGGTCTTCAACATTAAATTCTGAATAAAAAAGTGTAGATTAAGACAGCTCCAAATAAGATTTTGCATTCTTTTCATTATATTCTCATATAATTGGAGAAAGTGTTCCTTTAAAATGAACAGATTAAGCATTATACTTTCTTGTTTTCATGATACTTTGTGTTAGGAGAAAAGTCAGTCCATGCTATATAAGGCAGGAAAGGCTCTCATTTTTTAATTATGATGCTAGCAATAAATCCTGGTCTTACACTACCATGTTATTTGGTCGTTAACAGAATTTGTTAATTGAAAAAAAATGTCATCCAGAAACTGATAAATGTTTGTGGTTTTTTTGGTGTTTGTGCAAAATGTAGTATTTACCATCTTCTCCTAACTAAGATAACCATTTTGAGTCCATATGTTTGCTTACACTTAAACGACTACTAATTCTAGTTTCTGATAAATTCAGATAAAGAAGTTTGGAGATCAAAGCCGGATCAGCTTAATTGTGGCAGAGGTTGGTGGTGCAATTGAAGCTGCTCCAGTTCATGCACAGATAGAGCTCTTTAATGCATTAATAGATGGATGCAAAGAAGTGATTAATGGAATGAATGGTGATGGCAAGGTTTGTTCCTCTGTTAATGATCACATTGATATTGGTGTAAGGCATATAAAATACTTAAACATATATGTGGGTGTCTGATTTATCAGTTGTTCAACTTGGTTGTAGCGGTTATAACTGATGTGCTTTGTTAATCAATCTCAGGGTGCTGTGTTGGATTTCTTTGGAGTTTCTGTAAAGGCACAAGAGCTGCTAGATCGTGTCCAAGAACTGCAGCTCCTATCCAAGCGTATTAAACGTTATCAGGACCCAGTTGCACAATTTCGGTTGAGAACACACCCTAAAAACCCTTCATGGTCAAAATCTTGCAGTTGGAATCAAGGTAAACTGATTCTTACTTCGTTGTATATTTGCTGATTGTTTCATATGTTTTCGTGCTGATGGTTTTGTACCCAAATTAGTTGATGATGCGAGGTTGCTTTTGGGAATTTATTATCATGGATATGGAAACTGGGAAAAGATAAGGCTGGACACTAGGCTTGGTCTCACTAGGAAGATGGCTCCAGCTGGGCTTTCAGCTTCTGAAACATTTTTGCCACGTGCACCACACTTGGATACCCGGGCTTCTGTTTTGTTGCGAAAGGTATTGTTTTGTATCTTTATCTCTTAGGCCCACTGGTATCATCTTGAATGGTGTCGAAAACTTTTTCGTGCTATATAAAGACTATTGAAACTATGTTTCATGGAGTATGTACAGCTTTTTTTTGCTGGGAACCCTTCGCAGATAACTTATTGCTTTTTTTTTTGAAATTGTGGAGTGTCATTGTACTGTTCTTGATCTTTAACTATTGAATGTGGACTGATTATTGGCAATGCCCAGGTTTTGGGAATTTTGTGTGCTTTCTGGAAATCAGTTTTTCCCTTAAATCTTCAAAAGAATCTATAATTTTTCTTCTACAATATGCATCTCGGTTAAGTTCTTTGAAATGATGAGTCAAACTTAGGATTCATTTTCCTAAATTTCCTTTTTGTCTTTCCAGGAGTTTGAGGTTGTGCATGACAAGAGCACAAAAGTCAACATGACTGCTAGAAATCCCAAGCGCGAAAGGGAGAATGCCCTAAATATACAATCTAATGATGCATATGGGAAGTATCCTTCTGCTAAACAAAACGCCAAGATGAAGAAAGATCCCATGCAAAAGCGCCAAAAGGTTGAACCTAGGGTCAAAGAGGAAGGAGAGATATCTGAGTCAGAGGAGCCTGATAGATACAAACAGTACAAGGAAAAATTAGATAAAGAAACAAAGGAAGAAAAATGGCGGGAATGGTGTGCAGAAATAATGTCTGATGAGATCCGCACTTTGAGGCGTCTGGAAAAATTGCAGACTACGAGTGTGGATCTACCCAAGGAGGAGGTTTGTTTTACCCCTAGTTTTTCTTTATTTCCCTACAATTAAGAAAAGATACCATGAACTTAAATTTTGATCTTTCTGCAGGCGATCTTCAAAGTTAAAACCTACTTACAAGTTCTTGGGAAAAAGATTGATTTTATTGTTAAGGAGCACGGAAACGCACGTAATTATATTCGTAAGTATCTATTTTATCCGTCATTGAGACTGTTTCAAATTTTGTTCAGTTGTTATCTAATGGAAGAAGTTTATATTAAGGGTGGGTGAGGCCCCTAAACAATGAAATTAATGCGGATCTCAACATTTCACTAGAAAAGGTTGTTTAGATGCCCAAAATCGTCAGATCGATCATCTCGACCTAAGATGTATGAACATAAGGAAATTTGGATTTTAAGTCTTGAAAATAGTACATCTTGTAATGCATTTTCTGTACCATCAATTTTCAAGATTATCAGGTGATCATAGATATGCTCGATCTACACTATTTTTGAAGCTTTAAACTTTATAATTAGAGATAAAAATAAATTGTCAGACCATCACAAAGATTTCCAGTACTGAAATAACATCTTTCGACACTATTTTGGGCCTCAGCCTTATAATTGCTCTAAGGACTGAAGACCAGCCATGAAATCTATCTATTGCATCTTTGGTATAAAATTGTGGTGTCTAGAATAGAATATGGAAAGTTGTCACTAAAGTTTCGGCTTAGTGGTAGACATGCTTTATGGTTGAGGGAAATCAAGTGTTCGAACCTGTAGAACGAAACAAGCTGACCTACCCTTTCCTTTAGAAAAGAATATGCAAAGGAGAACAGGTTCTTGGCAGAGGTGGTCAAGGTGGCAAGTGCCATAGTGTCGCATCTAGAGTTCCATTTTGATGAGGTCCCACATTGACATTCAAGGGGGATAGTTGTTCCTTTTGCATGAGTATGCTTTAACATTCCCTTTAACACCAGCCAGGTGTTCCTTTTGCTGGAAAGTACACCCTATATAAGTATGGGAAAAGTTTATACAGAGCCTAGGCTCTAAACAATCAAATTAGAGCCTACGTCAAAAATTTCACTAGAAGAGGTTGTTTTGATGCCCAAAATGTTCTCAAATTGATCATCTCGACATCAAGATGCATGGACTTGAGAAAAAAAATGAATTTCAAGTTTTGGAAATAGTGCATCTTGTAATGCATTTTTGGACCGTCAATTTTTAAGTTATTCGAGTTTTCATAGATATGCTCAATCTACACTATTTTTGAAGCTTAAAATTTTATAATTAAAGATAAAAATATATTTTAAGTCTAGTCGAAGATTTCTAGTGTTGAAACCACATTTCTCGACACTATTTGAAGGTGGTCTCTAATTGTTTAGAGCCTCGGCTCTATGCAAACCGTACCCTATAAGTATTGCCGCATAGAGTACAAATAGCGCAATTTCAATCCTTGGGGTTTTTAAGTTTAGCATATTTTCGTGCTGGATTCTCATTAATTGAAGATGATGAAGACATTGTACCCAAAAAAAATAAAAAATAGAAGTATTAGGAAATGGAAAACTTAGCAAACAACCCAAAGAAATTTCAATGTGGCCGCATATGCAGGTGATGCGCTGCATATGTTGGCGCATCACATTCTTTTGTCTATGCGGCCTGGAGCGATGCGCTTCAGACCACATGATGCAATATGAGGTGCATAACTGTATAATGCGTTATCCAGCCGCATTTTAAAACAATGCTCATGGTTCTTAGGGTATTCAAGTAAAGAAACTATGAATCAAATTTTTTTATTGAATCCAAAGAATTCGATAAAATTTAGTGATTCTTTGGATGCTATGTACTTGTGAAGTACTTTAAATATGCAGACCTTAACATTTGGGATTTTGGGTCTTGGCTAAATGCTACAGCCTATAGTGTATTTTTTTTTTTTTTGAGAATGTACAGCCTATAGTGTATTTATTTAGTTGCTAGATACTAATTTATTTCTTTTAAGTGCTTGGTTGGTCATTTGGTATAATACATACTTTTGTGTTTTATTAAATTAATGAATGAGTGGATTAATTTATTTTGAACATATTCCATTAGAAAACAGAGACAACAAAAGTGTATACTAATTATCTAGCGATCATGCTATCTTACACAGTTGATATATTGGAGGCAGATGCTAAATAATGCCAAATTAAAATGCCTACAATCACATAAATTGCATATTCATGTTATTCTTTGTATTCTTGTATTTCATAATTTATTTTTAATTTTTTTAAATTTATTGACCTCATACAAGTGAAATGCCCACATCGTGACCACTTGAGCCACATAGCATGCATTATGGACTCCTAGGGCATCAAGTCTGCATCCCATATTTGATAACCTTGGGCTGTAGGCAAAGCCCATAACCATTTGTGGTTTTTTTGTACTTCTCTAGCAAAATGAAAAGTCAAGTACACAGACATTTAAGGTCTCGACCGGGTCTATTAAGAAATTGATTCTCGTGACTTTACTTTTTGGTTTCTTATCAAGCCAAATCTGCAAGCTATGCATATATTGCTTTGACACTAATGCAGATAAAAATATGGGATTATATGTTCTCTCGACACAAAATTGCACTTCATGGTGTGCTTGTTCCAACCTATGTTTAGGTTTTGTGATTGTGTATCTGACCGTGTATCTGCCCTGCGAACAATATCTTATTCCTTTGGTCCATGCTGTTCTTTGGAACTTCTTGTTTGTTCTTTGCTGAGAATCTTTATGGTCGTTTATTCTTTTGTCTCCATTCTCAAGTATGAAGATTAAATACATACTCGAGAATATAGGATAGTTACAATGGTTTGTAGAAGCACATGTTCAAGTATGATTTTGGTTTTCTCTGTGGACTCCCCTTCAAAAGCTCAGTCTTTACGTTTTTGTCCACCATTCTTTCTTGTTTTCTTTTATTTAAAAACCTTTGCTTGTGCATATATATTCCTTTATATTAGATCTCCCATGCCATCAAGGATTTAGCACTTTATAAATGGTCACTGTTCAATATAAGAAACAATGTATTTTACAGGAATGACCACGCGCTTATGGAACCATGTCGCCAATTTCTCAAACCTGTCTGGTGAGCGGCTTTCTGAGATCTATTCAAAGCTTAAGGAAGAGCAGCATGCCGAAGTGGGACCCACACCCTCTGACAGTAATACCGCTCCCCTTGCAGGCCCCAGTGGCAGAGAGAGTGACAATGGCCAGTTTGTCCCCGTCATGGGCAGCGAGTTTCACAAGCCAACGAAGCCATACCACAAGTTGCCCACATACACAACTGATTCATGCCATAGAGAGCAAGAGACAGGGAAATCAGAAGCTTGGAAAAGGCGAAGGAGGAGCGAAATTGACAATAGTGATCCTCATTTTCAGCCTTGCACCTATAATTCATCCTATGGTCAATCTCATAATAATGGTAGCCGTTTGCACGAACCAAACATGACGGGGATTTTGGGGTGGGGTCCACCAGATAATAGGCGATTTGCGATGGGCCCTGATAAGTGGGGTGGTAGGCCTCAGCAGCCGCAATAATTTTCTGGGATGGGGCTTATACTATTTAGGGGGATCTTTGAGATTAGGGTGTATAGCCGTCTTTTTGACGAGCTGTGCCCTCGGGGAAATTTTTTTTTTCTTGTGAAGAAGTATAATAAATATGCAGATCCGAAGCTGGTTTGAAGTCCAAAGGAGCAGCATCGGTTGTACAAGGCAAGAACTAGAGGAGAAAGAAGCAAGCAGGTGAGGTTTTGAGAGAAAAAAATGATCAATAGAGTGGTTTTGTAGGCAATACAAGGTACGTGAAGCGGGTCATGTAGTTGCATGGGTGGGTCAGATAGTGTATTGAGGGGGGTCAATATTGTATCGTTGCAAAGGTGTTGACTACTTCATTTGCGGCTCACGATGCTTGCTATGTATTCTTTTTTTGCCTTTTTCCATTGCGAGTACAATGTGTAACATTTTACTATGCAGAGCTTGATCAATTAAATTCATATCATGTTTCACCTTTTTGAGGTATTTTGTGAGTCTTTCTCATTCCCCTGATTCTACCATATATACAAACATGAACTATATTGATGATTTCTGTTTCTGTCTGAGATATCAGTGACTCGGGAAATTTTCTATACAATAAAGCAAGATGAGATTTTCTACTTTTGACTCCATTTTTGTGTTTTGGATTTCTTGGAGTTGTGATGTGTTTGTACCAAAGACTGGCAGGTGCTCAAAAGTGACAAGTACTCGCGCTCAACTGCAACTCAAAATTTCATGCGGGTTATTTCTCAGCCAACGATCATTTTGTGGTTTCTACTTGGTTCTTGAGGGTTGTTGGTGACTTCTATTTGGCTTATGGCTCTTTATATATATGGTCTTTATGTATGGGGATCCTTGAAGTTTCATTAAATGGGATTTTGCGAGGATGCTTAGTTCTCTGTTCATGTACTTTCCGATTCCTGTTTGAATTTTTGTGGCGTACTTTTCTCTGAATTTTACAGCTTCGTTTTCATTGTTAACTCATGCTTACATTTACGAATATTATTCAATATTTTTGACAAACCTTTCTTTATTCAATATTCATCCAAAAAAAAAATATTTCTTTTATTCAATAGGTTTTCCGACAGTAGAAAATATGGAAAAGGTACCTTGATGCTCAGGAAAGTTGCTTTCAAAAAATTCCAAATATTATTATTTTTTGAGATTTAAAATAAATGGGAAACTCATTTTGGATATAAATGTTATTGTAAACCTGATAGTTTATTTCTTATATAAAAAAGGGTTGAGTGCTCCCATCAAATATGCCGTCATAAGTCTCATCGCGGACCAAGTGCTTGGTTGGACAGTTGGGGAGAGCAGCAGACCCCAACCGTAGGCGCCATATGACCACATATTTGATGTGGTTACATCCCTAAGCCAAGTAAATCTTCAACTAACTCGGGGCGGTCTTTGGGCCGGCCGGCCTGGCCTGAACTCATCTCATTAACAACTCTAAATATAGATGAAATAATGCAGAGCTACTAACGGGCTTGGACCGACCTTCGTTTTTGGGTTGGCCAACAGAACCCGTCTTGTTGACAGCCCTAAATGCAGATTATGCTGAATCCCCTGCACATGAATTGACGATTCACTTCATCGAAGCCATATGCTTGCATTCATTGTTTATATAATGATGATGATGATATTCCTTAAAATATAAATAAAAAAAGATAAGGTTTATATGTGAACCCAACCACATAAAAAAGTATATGTGACCCTTGCTCTTAACCACATATAAAGTATATGTGATCCTGCTCTCAGCCATTAGATCTACGTAAATGGCTAGAATGACTAATCACATTGCTCTCAGCTGTCAGATTTGAGTAGATGGTTGGGACGACTAAATCACAATGTAACAAGTCGGCTCTTGGGCATCAAATCTTGAATCGATGGTGCAGTGTTTTATATTTAAATTTTATTGTGAAAATCATTTTGCAATGCAATTTGGGGTATGCATATATTTGACACGGGCGAAAATGATAAAATTAATAATAACATATTTCTTTTGATGGAAAATTACCATAATACTACTAAACTTTTTGGATGTATTTTGTTTATTTTATTTTTAGGAGAATGTTTTTTTTTTGCTTTTTGATGGAAAATTAAAAATCAGACATATTTTGGCAAGACATGAGCCATCCTAGCCGTCTATTTAGATCGACCGGCAGATAAGTAGGGTCGGCAGATAAGTAGGGTCACATATAATTCTTATGCAAGTGAGATCATATAGAAAGCTTTTACACTAAATCAAAATTCATGAAACATATTAGATTTGTTCATATACACTAAATAGTCGTGTCAAACAGCACTGCTTAATTTTAGTGGCCTTCCTAGAAATTGTATGTCTCTATGGGAGAAGAGGAAAAACAAATTTGTACATTTTTTAGTGTCAAGGGCATCTCACAGGTATTTGTAGATAAGTGAGATTACAGAATTGAAAGAAAGACCTATGTGATCATTTATCGGGGAATATAAATTTTTTTTTGTTTATTTCTTCACCCCTTTCTTTTGGCAAAAGATCACTTACATGTGTGGTCTTTATTATAATAAGATAAATTTCAAAATAAAATCAACATAACAATAAAACCAAGATCTTAACAACTTGATGCCATTGAATCAACTATGCACTATGCTTGAGAATAAAAGATAAGATTGCAAGAAACAAAAGGAAGAGTGCTGGAGATTACCTCAACCGGGCTTATTACACCCTACACCGAGTTACCACCATCTGATGGCACGGGATCAACGGTCTAGCTTCAATATCGAACTAGGAAAGCAAATTTCAGCCAAGCCACATCAATGGAACATGAACCCCTTTGATCACAAACTCGAACCCTAGGTGAATTCTCTTACAAATCTAGTTTGAGAGAGATGATTTTTCTTTTTGCTAAACCCTAAAACCGCTTAGCCATAAATCCAAATTTGAGAGATAGGAGAGAAGAACTCCATAACCTAAACCCTTAGGTTCTTTCACAATGTTGGAGAGAGAGATCAAACATGAGAGAGATAAACTTTTTTAAGAGAGAGAGATAGAAAGATAAGGTGTAGAGATTTTTTGGTAGAGACAATCCCTTTTTATAGGCTTTGAATAAGATTAAGGTTTCTCAGGGCTTTCTTTAGCTTGATTCTTCTTGTGAGATTGAACATAGACCGTTGATCAAATGTGACTTGTGGGGTGAGAGATCTGAGCCATCCATTCCATAGATGGGCCATCAACATTATGGAAGACGCATGAACCATTATCCCTTTTTCCTAAACCATTTTCCCATCAATAAAAATTAAATAAATTAAATCTAGTGCATACCATAAAATAACACAAGTCTACTGAATCTTTTCACAAACTCTTTCAAAGATATATCAAATCAATATTTAGTCAATAGCTTCCAACCATATGACCACATGCCATATCACCAAAAAAATAGGAAAGAGAATAAGGGTGGGGCATGCCACCCAAGGGAGGCACTCATGAGCCCCACCTTCTAAAAATATGGCGGGCTCATATACACAATGGGCCCCCATGATATTTTTATATATTTAAAATTAATAAAAATATTTTAGAATATTATTTGAATATTTAAACAATTATAAAATCAATATATTTAATTTTATAAATCCAAAAATTATAAATAAAATATTCAGGTGTTCATAAAATTCAAATAATAATCTTAAAATACTTTTCATCATAAAACAAGCACAATTAAATTAATTTAATGGGAGAAGATCCATATGGTTTAGGAATCAACAATCATGGGGCACTTGACCTTCAACTGTGGACTACAGACCACATTTACTTTATCAGATCGACTTAGTATTTTCCATGACCTACAGTTCAAGCAGGGGCTCATTAGCGGGTCACCAATGTCCGACCGATGAACCAAGGGATCTCAATCTTAGTCTGTGGATTTCAGGTCCTCCCCTAGAAACAAGTCAAGGTCACTTAGACCTTATGCGGCCACAACTCTTTGATGCATATGGGTATCTCTCGCACATGCATACGCTTCACCCTAAAAGGTAGATTTCTGGCTTCCTCGAACAATCTATCGATATGCATGTCGTGTGATAGTACATGGATGAGGTTTTGGCCCGTGTCTCTGTGGGCCACCATCACACACAAGGGTCACACAGTCTTTCGGTTCACTCATCCGGGCATATTCTCCAACCTCATCAAGGGCTAACCCATTAGAACCCCTCTTAGTTTGTTCTTTATGCCCAGGTAACAATGGTTTTTCCCAACTAACTGGCCTAGATCGTCAAGCACAGTCCGGTATCTGCAAACATCGTTTCCTTAGTATAGTCCACGAGGGACCACACTCTCATTGAGTTCATGTTCCACAATATCATTTCATTTGACAAGCACTGATAAGGCCTTTAAAGGCCACATAGACCCAACATCTCCCACTTGGCCTTTGAAGGCCTTACATTATCTCTTTCTCACTTTCTCTCATTCCCATATCTCTCTCTCAATTATAATTTCTCTCAAGCATTTTTACTTATTCTCTCAATACATTAATCATGGCTTTCGCCATTAATCATTTCACCAAAGGATTTATATATGCAACACATTTTTCTCTTTGTTGAAGAAGTTATTCTTGAAATCTTTTGTGTTGAAAACTAAACTCAAAACCAAATCATAAAATCATAGTTTGAATCCCACATAATATTTATCTTCAGATAAATAAATAAGTGACATTCACGTCACAAAATAAATCATGCTGCATAATTCCAGGATGAGCACTACCTAGTAAAATTGTATTTTCTCTCTACGATCATGGAGTTTCCCTTTCAAACTAATTTTGTTTGAAATTAGATACATAATGATAGTACATATATTTCCACAGGCCTCATATGACTTTGTTAAGTAGGGTTGATAAATATAGCTATTCATGTCTCAATGAAGAATATACCAAATTGCAGAAAATTCAAGATGACCTCTTTTCAATCTAAAATTTTTATTCCTCTCTTCTCATAAATATTTCTCTTTCAAATAAATTTTATTAGAAAATAGACTCAGAATGGAAGACTAAAAATTTAGTGTGGACCATAAAACATTATGTTAAGTATAGAAATAAAATCATGACTTCCAAGTCATGGAAATAGTTTTCGTTGTAGAAAACATCACTTGTGTACCCTTCAATAAATTGATCATATCTTTCAAACCACAACGACTTTCTTGATGACGCATTTTTTTCTTGAAAGTAGACTCAATTTTGTGAGTTGCAGTAAAATTTCAATAAGAAATAAAATCACATGATTGGTGGGAAAAATCACAGAATTCAATGGATAGTTCCTCGATTTTACAGGGTCAGAACTGACACCCTTCATTGATGATTCCATAACTCTCAATTCCCTTAGGGTTTCCCACTGAAAGTTTTCAGGCAGATCCTCCTCGTAAATACACAAAATATCACTGAGTATGTAATAAAAAATACCTCATTATATTCTTCATATCTCTACTACAAAATAGCCCAGAATACTCATTATGTAGAGTGCCTTTTCA